CCCCAAAACCCCAAAACCCCAAAACCCCAAAACCCCTGGGTATTTGATGAATATTGAGATTTTAGGAAAAGTTGGATTTTTGTGTGATAAAAATGGGGTTAAGTGGGGAAGGTGGTTACTATTAAGAAGGAATTACGTGAGAGATCGGGTTTGGAGCAATATTATTGTTGGCCATGTAGCTGACTAGTTGACCAGGGACTTCACGTAGAACATCCTCATGAAGATATGATATATCGTTTGAGTAGTTGTTAAATTCAACAAACTGAACTATGTCTCTTACAGAATAGTTTCCAAACTTATCTCTTAGTAGTTGCCCGTCAGAGTCTATTAAAAATTAGTTCACTTAAAATCTGATCAGAGATGAAGAAAATCAATTTTAATAAAGTTTAAATTGTTTACCTAATGCCTCCATCCTTGAGAAATTAGCTGTTCCTACTCCTACAATGATGATGCTCATTGGCAAATAGCTTGCCCTTACTATTCTATATCTATTAGCTTCTCATAACGGATAAATCTTACTCCTCAATTGTTTCGTCCATGTCAGTAATTGCTCCATCAGTGATGTAAAGCATGATGTTGTATTCACATAAGGACACTCTATCTTTGATAAAGTTGGTCATTGCTTGCAAACAAGGAGTGAAGTTGGTAGGCCCATAGAGTCCAATTCCACCATACATAGCATTTCTGTATGCTTCGAGAATGCCCTGGACTCCTTCAACTTCTGGATTCTCTTGGCCATTAAGGTGAAAACAATGAGAAACTTGCTCTATTCCTCAGAATCTTGGTTTGGCTCCAAAGCCAAATATAGGAAACTTTTTATCTGAGTCGTAAGGCTCAAGAATATTGCCGATGTTGTAAATAGCTTGCTCGTACTGTGTCATCTTTGAAGGATTATGAGGATCAATAAAATGGAGAGAATTAGGATCAGAGAGTTCTCCATTAGAAGCAGTAAAATCAATTGCTACACTCAAGGAGATCTTCCATCCACTTCTCAAGTAATCGACCATTGTGGGTTTTTCGATAAGGTCGAATCTACTAAATGTCATTGTCCCGTAAGGATTGCCTTGTCTTTTGATAATTTGATGGTTTTCTCAAATTTGATCAATCATTTCTCTAACAGAGCCTTGAACAGTTCCATAAATTCTGTGCTTGCCAGATTTTTGGTAGGACCACACTTGGAACAGAAGAGGTAAATCAATATCAGAATTGCAGAGTTTATCAAGAGAAATCTCTCCAAGGTCAAATGATGGATTCAGGGTTGGCTTCAATACTTTTGAAGTATACACTTTAATTGCATTTTTCGCATTTTCCATTGTTGGTTCTCTAGTTCTTCACCTTTTAATCTCCAAAAATGGGTGATTTGTATTAATAAGACCAAAGAATTCCTTCTTAGATTTGAGACCAGAGCATTGAAGGTTAATTATCACTGATTTGTTGGTGTCCTTAACAGCATCAGTAGTCACAAATATTGAACCTCAATTTTTCTTGGATTTTTCGGATTTAGAGAGAGCTGCGAAGTAAGTCTGGTCCCTAGCACCAAGGAGATGAGCAACCTTGGTGGTATGGGACCCTTGCTTTTCCTTTCTGCTAGGATCTTGGTCCCAAACTTCAAATCTGATGTCTTGGGTCTTTTCAAAGAAGTAATCAATAATGATCGGTGTTGAAAAGTCTGGATTCAGATTATTTTGAATCGTTTCAGTTTTACCAACAAGGATCCAGGACGACCTCTCATCGTTTTTGAGATAGACCTCCACAAAGGGATCTGACTTAGAAATATAGTCAAGATCTCTGAGCTTCCTACAAGAGATGAATAGCTGTAATTTCTGCTTTAATGAATCAGTCATATTGACTTGGGGTTGGTATGACTCCATGTTTCTTAAAATTTATTATTCCTCATTGCTAACTTTCATTTAAAGCATAGTTTTAGGGGTTTTGGGGTTTTGGGGTTTTGGGGTTTTGGGGTTTTGGGG